TTGTAGGAACTGGTCGTTAGTGTCGCCAAATGATTGAGAGTAATCATTGGTAAAAGTAATGGAAATGTCTTTATTCCGGCCGATGACGATGAATCGCAAAGACGATTGACGTTGTTTTTGACATTCGGCAGTCGAAGTCATGAATCAGGGGTATGCATGCAACGCCATGATCTGCATTCAGGGTCCTGGTCTTGGCATAAAGCCAGCGACAAGGATGATCCACCACCAGCTTGTCCGACTCGCGATGTTTGACGCCGCTTTCCGCAACGCCAGCCACATTCTCTCGCTCCGAAAGAATGCAGTAGCACAAATCCAAGTCTGGACCTTTCGTACAACAAACGGTAAAGCGAGAAATCCAATCCCTGACAGATACGATGGTGCACAAAACACCATGGCCAACCGACGATGTGTCTGTCCAACTCGAAGCATGTATGACGGCGGGATGTTTCCCAAACCACATGTCCCCTCTCCGTGCAGTGTGCTCAGACCCTCCACTTCGCAGTCCCCAATTCCACAGATGGCGAACGATTTCACCACCAGTTCTTCCTCCTTTACCATAGACATTGAGACATGACATCAGCAGTCTCCACTGCCACATCACCCTCCAACTCGAGCGATTCCCAGGTCTTGGCACACACTCCCTAATCTTCAGTTTTTGACGATCCGTGCTCCACCTTTGAACGGCCTCGAGCGGTCAATGATTGTGGCGCCTTTTTGCTATCTGGCTGCAGGGAAGTTGGTAGTTGGAGGAATAGTGAAAAACGCGGCTAGCCGGCGTGCAGAGGGACACCGCTGGCTGGTTGTTGACGTTTCCGGTGGACGTATAAAGATCCTTTGGACCCCGAGAGATTCGTGCTGTGGGCAACAGTCGACCAGATACAGCAGACTATTATGACTGAAAGAGGCATCATTGAGCATCCGGAGCTCCTCAAATTGGGGGAGTCGCTTCCTCCTGGAGATCCTCATGTAAGTGGCTTCCATTCATCTTTCCACGACAACCATGTGCTGACAATGTCGACTCAGGGAGTCAGCGTCCATCTCCCAACATGGGAAGACACACTCGGCTGGGCCTCGCGAGACCGTCGCGTGCTGGACACCATGGTTACCGGCTACCCTCGCTTCTTCATTCCTCGAGTAGTCGAGCGTCTGGCCGAGCGACTCCTCGAGCACTTCACCCAGACTCACGACCACACCAGCAACATCGATCTGAAGGACAAACACGCCTTGATCGTCTCCACGGCCCACCACGCGCTCATGTGCCGACAGTTCTTCCGGCAAAAAGTCGACCATACTTCAAAACAAGAAACCACATTCCCCATCCTCATCGCCCACTGGAACGGCACCATCACCTTCCTCCGCGAACACGAGGACCTCCCCCAAGTGAAGAACGAAACAACGCCACTCGGCCAAGAGGACATCTTCCTCCTCCCCTACCCCGTGGACATGTTCCCCGTCGCCAAAGCCTTCTGGCAACACACCGGCTTTGGTATCTCCAGCCGACGAGCAACATACTGGATGGATTCCGCCCCCTTTCTTCACCCCTCATCACAGGCACCACCACCACCGTTTTCTCCTTCCGAAACCACCACTGCCCTCTCCGCCATCCGCACCCGCCTCGCCAATTGCTACTCCACCCCCTCTTTACCCGTTGCCGATAAGGATGTGTTCCTCTACCCAACGGGCATGTCCTCCATAGCCGCTGTTTCAGCCGCTGTCAAATCCCTTGCTTCTCCCCAACTCACCGGGAAACGACAACCATCAGTGGCGCTGTTCGGGTTTCTCTACGTTGACACTTTAAAACTCCTCTCCACCCTTCTCGGCTTTCAGTTCAAGCTCTTTCCCTTCTCCACCCCCCTTTCTTCTCTCGAACAGTCGCTAGAGTCCAAGGAGTTGGTGATTGATCTCTTGGTTACTGAGTTCCCTGGTAACCCCTTGTTGCAAAGTCCTGATTTGGTAAGACTATGGGAGTTGAGTAGACGGTTTGAGTTTGCGCTGGTGGTCGACGACACGGTGGGAGGGACGGGGGCGAATGTGAATGTTTTGGGGAGGTGCGATGCGGTGGTTAGTAGTTTGACGAAGATGGTTAGTGGGGGGTGTGATGTTATGGGGGGTTGTGCTGTGTTGAATCCTTCTTCGGAGAGATATGAGCAACTGTGGGAGGAGTTAACGGGGTCCAGACCTGACCGAAACAGCGCAACAGATCTGGAGGGTGAGGAGATGCAGCAGTCAGGTGAAACAGATGGGATAGGTGACAGAAGAGCCGGGAAGAGAGACTCCGGCTACGCAGAGGAAGAACCTACACTCGCCTCCTCCGCCAAGGAACCTTACACCAAAAGCCCTTCCCAAAGGACCATAACCATCAAAAACGAAACAAAACAAGAAACAGAACGCAGCTGGTTCCCCACCGACATCACCTCCATGGACCACAACAGTCTGGACTTCATCCACCGCGTCCGCAAAGCCAGTTCCAACGCCGAGTGGATAGTCCAGACCCTCCTTCACCCACATAGCAGCGTGCAAGAGGTTTACTACCCCAAGGGATCATCGACGGAAGCCATATACGAGCAGTTCCGGGTTAAACCTACCTCCTCCGATAGTACTCCGGCAGCGGGAGATGAGGATCATGAGGGAGGATATGGATACTTGGTGTCGATCAAGTTCCAGACTCCAGCCAAGGCGAGGGCGTTTTATGACGCGCTGGATGTGGCCAAGGGGCCAAGTTTGGGAACGAACTTCACGCTTTGTTGTGCGTATACCCTGCTGGCGCATTATCGGGAGTTGGAGTGGGCGGCGGAGTTTGGGGTGGTGGAGGATCTAGTGAGGATTAGTGTCGGGCTGGAAGAGAAGGGGTGGTTGGGGGAGAGGGTTGGTAGGGCGTTGGAGGCGGCCGGAAGATGCGAGGCGTGACCTCGCCACATCATGTGAGAGAAGGGCTGGAAGGTTGATAATCCGCAGGCAGGATTGTACCGCAACAGCGAGCGTAGGTATGCTTTGATCTGGAAACAATGAGTTAATGAGAATTGATACCCTAATGCACTTCACCCAACTTCGTCGCAGGCCTTCCGTTAAGGCATTCATTCTCTGGTTGTTATCTGCATACTCTCAAAATCTTCCCTCGTCCTCCATCTTCTGCACAGGAACCAACTCAGTACGACGAAGGCATAACCGACAGCCTCCCACCATCATTGACCAGAATCAGCCCATTGCAGAAGCTGCCAGCGCGACTCGCCAGATACAACACCGTACCAGCCATCTCCTCCTCCCCACCAAACTTCTTGGCCGGAATGAAGTGCTGACTGTCGAAAGTCTCGCTTCCAGGATCCCGACTACCGATCAGACCAGCCGCAAGCTCAGACGGGAACACTGCAACACTCTCGTTAGCATCACCCTCCCCTTTTACACTTGGAAACAAGAAGAACTTACACCCCGGAGCCAACGCATTCGCCCGAATCCCATACGGCGCCAGCGCCGAGCTCGCCTGCTTAGTCAAGTAAATCATGGCCGCCTTGCTGCTTCCATACGCCGGCGTCGACACCGTCTTCCTGCTATACCCCGCAATGCTCGCCGTGACAATGATCTGGCTCTGCACACTCGGAACCTGACTCCCTTCCTTATCCGGCTTACCAAACCCTCCCTTCTCCACCGCATTCCTGTTGCCCGCTTCCAGCAGCTCCAAAAAGGCGACCATGGAGAAGAACGCCCCCGTGACGTTGGTGTTCAAAGCGCTCGTCATCTCTTCCATCTGGAAGTTGGTAAACAAGTTCTTGCGCACTTCGGAGAGGGGCAGGCTGGTGTCCCATTTGTTTGGAGGACCGAGAACGCCCGAGTTGGCGACGAAGAGGTTGATGTACCCGACGTCGTTGGTGATTTTGTCGACGATCTTTTGGAGGGAGTCCTTGTTGGTGACGTCGCAGGTGAGGGCGACGAGGACGGCCGGGTTGGCTTTGGCGGCTTCGAGGAGAACGTCGGGGCGCCGGCCGAGGAGGTAGACGCGCTTGGCACCGTTGGCGGCGAGGGCGCGGGCCATCATTAGGCCGATGCCTGAAGTTCAATTAGCCGGAGGCAAGTAGTGATGGTGATAAGAGTGGGCGGGGGATGTACCTGTCCCGCCGCCGGTGATGACGGCTACCATGCCATTGACATTGAACAAGTTGTTCGCGCTGAGATTTGACATATTATTTCCGGAAGTCATCTTGCTTGTTGGCATTTGTTGTAGAGTGAAGATCTGGGTTCTTGAGTCGTCGTCGTCGTCGTCGTGGACTGAGAAGGTCTTGGTTTCTTGTGAAGGTTCGCCAAAACAGGAATCAAGGATTGGATGATGTCATGCGTGGATGGGCTGACTTTCTACCTAACATGCGCTTTGCCTTATGTATCAATGGTCTCATCCTCTTGCTTTATACATGGCACGATGCATCTCAAGAGTTGAAGGCTCTTCACTCGACGTTTCGGCTTTTTCTGTGGCACTTGCATTAACTCCAGCTTCCGTCGTTTCAGCAATTCGGACTTATTGGGGATTGCCGAAGACTTGTGTAGGACAGGGCGGCGGTAGCTCTAAATCCGTTTGGCTGAATGGCCATGGTTGGATGGTGATGATGCTGCAGAATGTAACTGCTAACCGTGTTATCACTTGGTAACAGAAGAAGGTCGTGGAGTTTTGAGCCAAATTCGAGATTGATCGTCCAGGTTGCTTCCCAGAGGAACGTTTGCAAAGACCAGTACTATTGACGCCGGAGTTAAGTTAAAAGATCGTTTTGAACGAAGGTCGTTATTAAAACAAGCCGGGACATGTTTGATATTGGTGTTAGTAAGAACGACATGGTCTAACGCTTGGGCCAAGTGACACCAATAAACGAGATGCGCCGAGACCAAGACCGTCAAGACGAGCACACCCAAACCCGCCAAGTTCACCAAGAAACCAACAAAAAAGCATTCGCAAAAATGAACAAAAACAGCTTGCGAAAAACTGCAAAAAAGAAGATGTTATCGAACATCGGGAATTGAGCCCGACGTGGGGGTCGAACCCACAGCCTTGAGATTTTCATTACGGAACAACTCCTTAAGAGTCTCACGCTCTACCGATTGAGCTAGCCGGGCAGCAAATGCTGCCAATTGTTGGAAGTACCGCTGAGAACCAGCACTCAAGAACCCAAAACAGGCGGTGATGCATTGCTTGGGCAAACCATGAAGACAACGCCACGCATGCACCTCTGGACGACATGTCCGCGAGACAAGCAACCTGCAAAGTCCAAATACTTGGCTGAAATCTTCCCTTGATCCGTCGATAATGAGGTTGTGCGAGGCAAGATAGAAAAGATGAGCGACGAGCGTCGCGGTGGTAATGGCGGTGCACAATTGTCCGTTGGTGTTGAGCTCCTGAACTCCCGGGTAGCCAGAGCAACTACCGGGTAGGTCAAAGACGACGGGATCTGAGGACGACCACGGCGTGTAAATTCGCAATGGAAATGGAAATGGCCATTGATGGGTTCTGCGCTGGCCATCAAGATTCTTATGGAGCATTGCGTTAACAAATTGTTCAGAACGGTATTGCTGGCGGTGACGACGTGATGCAATGTTGAAGTTCAGAGGATGGGAGAGACGAAGCGCATGCAATGACATGTCATCGTCAACACAGGGAGCTGGCGCGGGGTTGATAGCAGCTGATAAGGGTTGGGGTTGGATATGGGAGCATCTGCGGCCTCGCAGATTTTCCGCAAGCTGTCATTGGCCGCGCAACACTGTCACAGAAAGAGGGGTCCACATGTCCGATTCGCGGGGCCGGGCCGCGTTCTGGAATTTGGGAAATTGTGAGTCAAAGCCCCACCATGCCATTGCCAGACGGAGACTCCAGTACGGCGCTGCTCCCCGGGATTTGACCACTGAAGCCGCCGCCCAGCTCCAAGCCCGCAAGATCCGCTTCGCCTGCCGCCTCCGAATTCCGATTCCGTCTGTTGTTTTTGTGCATAACACCAGACAGTCCCCGACACCACACATATTCAAAATGGCGCCCCCAACAAACACCACCGCGTCCTCGGACGACCTCGCGACCGACATCCTCGCTGCCCTCGACAAGTCGCAGCCCCTCCTCTCCAGCGATGCCTTCCCCAGCGCCACCTTTGTCGACCTCAAGGCCGCCCTCGACAGGCTAGCCTCGCGCGAGATGGTAAGATACGACACCATCGAGCGCCAGGAAGCCCTTCTCGAACCCGAAGCCGAACAGATTGCCGCCAATGGCTCCCACGAGGCCCGCGTCTTCGAGGCCCTGCGCAAGGCCGTCGAGGGCCTGTCGGTCAAGGAGCTGGAGGAGGCCATCGGCGACAAGAACGTGGTCAAGATCGGCCAGGGCAAGGCCTTCAAGGAGAAGTGGATCAGCAAGACCAAGGACGGCAAGTTCACGGCCGTCGCCGACACCATCACCGACACCACCCAGGAGCAGATCAAGATCGTCCAGCAGACCAAGACGCATCCCGACGCCAAGATCCTCGCCGACCTCAAGAAGCGCAAGCTCATCCGCACCCAAAACATCTTCTCCTTCAAGATCCACAAGGGCCCCAAGTTCGCCCTCAAGATCCCCGAGGAGGCCACCGACCTGACCGCCGACATGATCGCCTCGGGCGCCTGGAAGACGGCCACCTTCAAGCCCTACAACTTCAAGGCCCTCGGCGCCACCCAGAACGGCGGCGCTCTGCACCCCCTCAACAAGGTGCGCCAGGAGCTGCGCAACATCTTCTTCGAGATGGGCTTCGAGGAGATGCCCACGGACAAGTTCGTCGAGTCCGGTTTCTGGAACTTCGACGCCCTCTTCGTGCCCCAGCAGCACCCGGCCCGCGATCTGCAAGACACCTTCTACATCTCCGACCCCAAGGCCGCCGACTTCCCGCGCGCCGACTCACCAGACGACACCAAGGACTACCAGGCCTACTGGGACAACGTCAAGGCCGTGCACCAGGACGGCAAGTACGGCTCCATCGGGTACCGCTACCCCTGGTCCGGCGACGAGTCTTTGCGTTTGGTCCTGCGCACACACACCACCGCCATCAGCGCAAACATGCTGCACAAGCTGGCGGCCACCAAGGGCCCCGACGGCCGTCCTCCCCCGGCGCGCTACTTCTCCATCGACCGCGTCTTCCGCAACGAGACCGTCGACGCTACACATTTGGCCGAGTTCCACCAGGTCGAGGGTGTCATTGCCGATTACGGCCTGACGCTCGGCGGTCTGATGGAGTTCATGGAGATCTTCTTTGGCAAGATGGGTCTGCATGACTTGCAGTTCAAGCCCGCTTATAACCCGTATACCGAGCCCTCGATGGAGATTTTCGCTTACCGTATGTTTTCCCCTACTTTGCTTGGGAAGAAACAAGATGCTAACACAGGTGTTCAACAAAAACAGACAAGGGCCTCGGCAAGCTCGTCGAGATTGGCAACTCCGGCATGTTCCGCGCCGAAATGTTGGAGTCTATGGGTCTTCCGTACGTTTATTTCTATCCCTCCCCTTACCCCCTCCTTTTCTTGCCTCTACCCTTACGGCTACTAACAACCCCCAAGCAAGGACATGCGCGTCTTCGGCTGGGGCTTGTCCCTCGAGCGCCCCACCATGATCAAGTACGGCATCTCCAACATTCGCGAGCTGCTGGGCCACAAGGTCGATTTGGAGTTTGTGCAGGGCAGCCCGGCTGTTTTGCTTGGCGAGGAGTAAATTGTAGATTTTGGGAACAAAAAAAAGTAATGATTGAAGCGAGCTACTAGACACTATGATACCGCGATATAAAATGGAGTTTGATGTTCAGTTTGGCAGTTGGCTTAATTATGGATGTGGGGGCTGATTGGGGTTGTGATGTCAGTTTTGATGTGACGGGGGTCATGATATGGAGTTAACCTTCGATCAGAGGACAACTAGGACCAGTTGGCGATGGTGGATGTCGTTCATCAAGTAAGGGGGAAGACTACACCCAATTGCTTCCTGGCTGCAACCTGCGCTCAATATGGCCAGCCCTTCTTGTTTCGACAAGATGGGAAAACCGTGATAGCGGAGCCTTCGTACCTCAGATGGGCCAAGACGAAGAGGACACCAACTATCGGATTTGCTGGAAAGTGAATCACCCCATCTCCGTCTCTCTCGATGTCTTCTGATCAGATCTGGTGCACTTTCTGGTTTGGCACCCTTTTCCCCTTCTCCTGGAGCCTCAAACATCCACGAAGAACGTATCCGCAAGAAAAACAACCTGTCCTATCCTCGGCTCGTTTCACCACTTCTTCAAACAGATGGGGACTCAGGTCTAGTCTTGTTCTAGCATTCGCCTCCCCTTGAGACAGGTACGAGTGAGAGTGGACATGGTTTGTTTACATGTTTTCTCTCTACTTTACGTATCACTAGTTAAGTAAACAAAATAAACAGAATCAAGTCTTTGCAAGTCGTCAAGCTTTCTTCGTTGATGTGATCGTCAATGCGCAAGTCCACCATCGTCCAGAATGTGCACGGTCGACGGAGCGGCGCGGGCCTGAATCATGGACCGGGCACCCTTGCCGAATACGAATGCGAATGCAACAATGCCAAGTGGACCTCGCGATGCATGCATCCCCAAAAAGGGGAGAAAGTAAACAAACCCCTTTTGCACGCAGGGTTGGTGGCTTGGCGTTGGCTTTATTTAGACGTCAACTCTTCGCTTTGCACTTGTCAGTTGGCGGATTCGACGCTGAAGAAGCAACAACTGAGTTGGAATCAGCAACACACAATGCACTTTCCTGACTATTATCGGTGTCCAAGATGTGGAAGATGTGAAATGCACAATTTGAGCATCACGCAGCTTGTACGAATACGCTGCACAACTCGACTCCAATTCGGTTCCAAACTCCTTCTTGGAGTTGTGCACTCTCGTCGCTCTCAGACTCTCCTCCTCTTCCGGATCCTCCCAAACCGAACGTTCATCTCGCCACCCGTCTCAAATTTCTCACTACTCCTGAGATGAATGACGCAGACAAGTACCGGCTTCCCTGTCCAGTCTTCATATCTCTGTCCAAACACCGCGCATTCGCCCGCTGATGATCCCGGTGGCCCCACAGTCTTGATTCGAAACCATTCTCAACTTGGGGACTGCATCCTTGTTGTTCACAAGTTGCGATGCCTAGCTCATAGACAGCCTTGTTATCCGCCTATAGATACGTTTCCCAAAAATAGCGTATGATGTCGATCCGGCACCACCTCCGAGACACAGCCCGGTCCCAGCCCTAAAAGGAGCCCTGGACCCCAGGAGTTATGTATCGGAAAACTATTTCACCGGTTTGTCTTCAGATGGTTTCACAACTAAGCAGCATCTGACCATCATGAGCCCATTCGAGACCGTAGGAGACTGAAGCGTGTGAAATGGATTCTCCAGGAAGGGAAGACGTGAGAGAGTTCCGGCTTTGTTCTCCTTACGACCCACGGATGTCAAACACCAGATCGCGTTGACTCTAGACACCGAATGCCAAACTGAGACCGATAACGAATACGAGCTTTTGGTCTATATAACCATCGCTCATTCTGTCGTTCCTGGAGGTTCGTTCTGATCTGTAGCCGCATCAGCAGCAACAGGGACACTTCTCCTTGTCTCTTCAACTCAACCACATAGTTGAGTCTGGTACTCTTGACTCTTGAGTTCTTTTCTTTTCTGACTGCAGGCTTCAGTCACCCTTTTCACATTTACTTACCTTTTAATTTTTGACCGCTTGGCCATTGCGCCTCAACATCTCCACTTCAATCTCTCCGTCAACAAGACAAAAGTTAGCTTCGGCTTGAACGACTTCGACAACTTGTACAACACTCCAGACCTACCAATATCGAGAACTCAAAATGAAGTTCACTTCCTTCCTCTTCCTCACCACCGCTCTCGGGGCCTACGCCGCTCCCACCGGCCTCGCTCCCAGGGACTCCTCTTCACTCGCCGCTCGCAACCCCGACGCGCCGAGTATCATCACCGCTCCGCCGCCTACCATTCGTGGCGGCTCCAGGCGCTCAGTTCCTGTCCGTCGTGATCCTCAGCGTGGTGGCGGCCAAGCTCCTCCTCCACCACCTCCCCTCAACAGCAGGGGGGCCAACGAGGAGGCCAAGCTCCTCCTCC